TGAGCGGACAACAAGAAACATAAGTTCCATTTGCAGGACAGAACCAGGACGCCTCAGGCACTCCGGGGCTCTTGGAGGCAGACGCTGAACCTGAGGACGTTAAAGCCTTTCCATGCGATGAGGATCCTGAGCCCATCGATTCTATGGAAGACGAGACGTGCCCTTTTGGCCCAGCATCTGAGAATATATTCTGCAGAGTGAGCCTGCCGCCTGCTCCCGACAGGAGACAGCGTGAGCCGACGCCTACAAATCACCGTGATGGGGATCAAGAGATTATCGTTGGGCATGCTGTCTCGTTCAAAGCAGACAGCCATATGTTCCAAGGGAAGAACGCGGACGAATCATTCAGAGAACACCTGGTCCAATGAGACAGAAAGTCCGCGACGCCCACATGACTGGCCCCGTTCCGCCGCGCATCGTAGCCATCCGCAATCAGACAGGTAATACGCTCCGATATATTGCAGAGTTTGCGGAAGACCCGATTTTCGCGTTGTTGAGCAGCCTCAACCAAGTTGACGGCGCGTTTGATCAGGCAAAGGAGTTTCTCCGAGCTGAATTTCACTCCGAAGATGCCCCAGAAGGATTCACTCCGAAGTCCTTTGAGTGCCTAGTACCGTTGGTAGTTGGGATTGACGACGACCATAATCCAGCTGCCTGAGGCCGCGCGGCATCTTGGAGCCCCCAGAGCCAGAGCTGCCGAGCGGACAAGTTTGCTGAGCACACAGGCAAATGCGCTGCGTACCTCGCGAGGCATTGCTCGGACTATGCGAGATCGTCGGGTGGCTGGGTCTACTTTGGAGACCTGGTGCAGAAGGTTGCAGAGGACGGCTTTACGTTCCAGTCACATGCTCTTGCCGCACACGGCGTAGCCGCGCTGCCGCCAGAGACAGTGGAAGCATGGGGAACACCCCCCAAAGATAGTAACGAGATTGTTGGAACAAGTGTTCACCAAAATGCGGACGCCGTACAAGGCGCGCCCATCACAAGAAAGAGAGCGGAGCGAAATTGCTATACCCATTTGCTATCGGGCATGTCAGGGACATTCCACGTTCGTTGCCTCCATTGAAAGAATGTGCGTCCCATATGACCCTGGCCAAGTCAGGAGTCACGGATCCCTTCTCCATGTCACAGACACGCAGACGTTCTTGGTCCACGGAGGGGAGGTACGCTTTCCGAAGAAAGACTCAGGGCTTTGCCTCGAAGCAGACTACGGTTTGCTGAGGCTGCTTCCGGCTGAGAGAAGCCCAACAATGCTTAATGCGGCACGCATTCTTCCGTGGCTCAGCCAGCGGAGGTACGGGGAAGCTCCCCCTTCCAAGGCATTTTGTGTCCATGGGTCGTGGGGCACAAGAAGGAGAGCTGCCGACTGCGGGGACTTGGCCCGCAGACGACGCTGTCCATATGTGGGAAAAGCTCCCCAACCACAGAGAATCCTGGGAGCTCATGCTTGTTTTCACGGGCCGAGTGCCCGCTCGTTTCTCGCACAGGATTTGCCCAGACGGGACCCTTGTGTCTCGAGAGGTGCCGAGGTTCACGGATATCGACAAGGCCGTCACCCTTTTTAACGTTGGACCTGGAGATGGCTCAATAGCACATCAGATGTTCTGGTCCGTTCTCTTCAACCGCGAGTGGGCCTCGTGCGAAGTGACTCTTGGCAACGAGTCAATAATTGCTTGGATTCGCACAGACGAGACTCTGTCGTTGGTTCAGAATCGCAAGCCGCAGTTGTCACCCGAAACACAAGAACGGGTTCTATCTGTCCACTGGGAGGATGACGGAAGATTCTTGTGTTTCCGATTTCATTGGGTGCGCGCGGGCTTCGAACATTGTCCAGTTTGCAGCTGTCGGATCAAATACAAACACAGAGTCACACACGACTATATGACTCAGACGTGGAACTGGAGGACAATTCCGCGATGCCTTGAGGCAAATGGATTTAGATGTCATGTGACTGATCACTACCATCTTCCCAACAATCGTCCCGAATGGATCAAAGCGCGTGGGACAAGACAACAGAGAGCTTCTGCGATCGTGATGAAGAACATCAGCAGTAACCATCAGCAGGAGCGAAAGTGGGCGAATGGGGAATTTGTTCGCATGGCTGCAACGGGCCAGATCTTCGGGAACAGCCAGCCAGGCAATTTCCCTGCTTGGGTTCCAACGGACGCCGCGGCTCAGCCGCCAGCGCGCCATGGCCCTTTCTTCCAGTATTTGAAGCCCTTGGTTCGAAGGTTCATTGAATGACTTGCGTTCTCAGCCTCGAGAGCGAGAAGGCAGGTTCCTGTGATCCAGGTCTGGTGGCCATTGTTGTGGAAGACAAATATCGACCAGTACGCTCGCCCAATATCTTGCCCGGCTCTAGCAGCCTTCGACTGGCCAGAATATCAGGACGACATAGTCGAACCTGTGCTGGGTTGGGAGAGATGGCATACTCAGATGACCAGACAAAATGTCTTTGCCCCGACGATTCAGACAATTGATGACGCGGTAACCATGGGGACACCATGGCTGCCGGTACAGCAAGAAGACGCCGCGGACGACGCAGGGCAAAACCCTCGCGCAGGGCAAAATCTTCGCGGAAGTATACCAGTTGCCTGGGAGAACAGTCTCGCGGCGAGGCCAACTCGCAGTTCTCAGTCCGTCGCCAGACGGATTAATGAGTGCCGCGATCATCGCCTCATAGTACCATTGTTGCAACCCGCCACCGGCGCAGCCGCGATGGCAGGCGCGCAATCACAGGTTGGACTTGACTTCTCAGCAATCAGCGGGCCTAAAGCCTCGCTGATAACCGGAGGGGTAATCAACTTTGATCAGCCTGACGGTTATACATATAACCATTGCGAGGACAGCTCGGTAAATATATCTTTACACGGGTTAGAGGCTAGGGCGATCGCAGCACAATATGTTATCGAACACCAGGCATTCGCTCAAACCCAAATGATCTCCCGATAGATTGCAACTGACAGGGGAAATGGAACACGAGGCCCCACCGATTGTGACGAACATAGTTGAAGGGAACTGGATGGCTCCTGTACAACAGATGCAACTTGGTCTTCGCATCATAAGAATATTTGCTATCGTTCGCGAGACCATGAGTTCCTTCATTTCGGATGGACATATTTTGTCGGTTACCCGGGGCGAAGAATTCGCCCCGATAGAGAGAACGCATACCCCATTTACCTGAAGCGACGGAGAGATGAATATGCTCTTGACCGTCGCATTAGCGCCGCCGTCCAGACGGGCGACATCATAGAAGAATGGACCCGCAATCTGGGCAGGCAGGTGCAAACCGACGTTCGTCGCGAGGGCGCATTATTACAAGAGGCCGTTTCTTGGCATCAGAACAGACACATAGATCTTGGGACAGAGCTTCAGGATAAGGACGCAGGGCCATTCCGCACTGCATGCGGAAGATTCGGCACCCCAGCAGCTACAGCTGCTAGGAGCTTGTTGAAGTTCATGCGAGATCGAGAGCAGAACGTCTGTGAGAACAGAAATGCCAATCCGCACCACGGCAGCGAAGCTGACCCCATGGGGCCAATAAGAGCACGACGCGGTGCAAGCCAGGCCGCAGCCACCACCTCCACCGCGCAGACCCAACGTCTCAGACGCTCGGGCTGCCGATGAAGTTACCGAATCCCCACGCTCTGTCGCCGGCGCAGCTGTGACGACAAGAGAGGAATACTCATGGTATTCTGACGCATGGGATTGGTCGACGCCCCAGCGCGCGCGCGATGGGGCCATGGATGTCGGCCGCGGCGCTGCCGGCTACGACCCGCTCCTGTCCTACCCGCACTACGTGAATAATGTGCAGGTCGGGCACTGCGTCCACCGGGGCCGGACCACGCGGTTGTCCGACGAGGTGTGGTGGACGCAGGTTTGGCATACATTGTCTACGTTTGAGCATGACGTTCACTTCCCGCCGAAGGGGGAGGCGTCCAAGAACAAGGAGAAGAATTACAGCGCAGCATACTACACTAATAGAGGCAAAGGACGGTCTCGCTCGCCTCGTGGCGGAGACGGACAGACTGGAGGCTCGGCGCCGTCGAACCCGACGCTTCCGGCGCCACCGACGGGAGAGGAGAACCCGTGGGGGGAGCTGGGCTGAGATCCGCCCGCGTGACTTAATCGCGGCAGGCGCATGCAAGAAAGTTCTCGCCCGCACGACGAAGTCGTGTCGGACGGGTAAGCGACTCTACTGGTAGGCTAAGCCGAACCAGCGGAGAGAATTTATTTGTATGATTGTGGGAGTAGTCGGGCCTCTTCGGTCCTGAGCCCCCTGGTGGCAACCGCTGCGCGGTAAAAATTGTTGCGGTTCGCTCCGGTGGTTGCTCATTTTTAGGCCAGGGGTGCTGTGGCAAGATGGGCTCTACGAGGCCCGCCGCGGGGGGGGTAAATATGCTCCTTTCCGCCTCATATCAATTTCGCTTGTAGTAACACTTGCATGCTGTGCACTGTATGACCATAACTTATACTGCATTATGCAGCTGTTTGTTCGCTTGCAGGAGATAAAAGGTGCGAGCTGGTCTGCTCGCGTGCGTCGCGGGGTCGTCCCCGCGTCGTCGTCGTGTCGTCGGCCGGCCGGCCACCTCACTTACCATTCCTGATAGAGTAAACTTGCTTACCGGTTACTTGTCTTATCGATGTCTCATCCCTGACCCTCTCTCTCTGAGCAGAGTGAACATGAGATCTTAATGCCTTTGTCATCTTACCCCGATTCTCGGAGGAAAAACTAGCTCGGCTCCCGCGAGGGGGAGGGATAGGAGGGCAGGGCGGAGGAGGGAGGCGGAGGGAACAGGAGGGAGGGCTGGCCACGTCCTGGTCCGGGGACCAGCATCTCTGGAGGTCGCGAGCAATAACTGCAGACGGGTGCTGTTTTGTGATGGCCGCTCTCGACCGCCAGGATTGTCCTGGGGATCGAGAGCGGCCGCCAGGCGCCGAGACCATCGTGAGCACCATAAGTCATCGTCAGCAACATGACACAAATAACTCCAATCGTATCAACACAACATCACTGGCGATCCGTGCTCAAGCCAATGTGGCGCTTGGTTTTCCGAGCAGGGGGCCGAGGCGCTCGCGATGAGACCTCCTGATGCCAGGGCGGAGCGGCCGATATTGCACGCACGGCACGGGGACGCAGGCACGTTACGGCGAGACGTGGAGCAGAGCCTGGGTGGAGCCAGCGTTCGCACCGACACCGACGCGCTGCTCCCGCTGCCAGTGACAGAAGAGCGGCATAGAAATTGTTTCGGGGTCGTCAGTGCGTTCGTTTCACTGTCGGCCCTCGCAGCCGCAGCTGTGCGGTGGACGCCCGTCCAGACCGCCTGGCCGCCCCCGCTGGACGCCGCAGCGGCCGCGGTCAGGGAAGAGCCGGCGAGGTGGATCGACAACGGCACGGGGTGCTCCAACTGGCAGGACATCGCCGTGGGAGGATACTCTTTGGAGACCTCTCTGGACGCCTGCGGCGAGCGCTGCGCGGCCACATTGGGGTGTGCCCTGTTCAACTATCAGGCAGAGTGCGACGACTATCCTGGGCGGGGCGCCTGCTACGCGTTCCGAGGCGCGTGCAGGGACAATGTCGATGGCTGCTGGAAGCTGTTCGCGATGCGCAGCTCGGGCCCGGCAGGAGCTGCAGGCGCTGCACCGGCCGCGGGAGCAGCAGTCCCACCGGCGGTTGCCGGAGGTGGCGTCGCCCGTGAAGGCGTATCTGCGATTCCGTCCAGCAGTTTGGAATTGTCGGCGGTGCTGGATCTCGAGCGCGGCATGGGTTTCGAGCGCGTCGAGCAACCTCGCAGGTGCGCCCTGGTGGGCTCGTCGAGCGTGCTGCTGGGCAAGGCGGCCGGAGACCAGATCGACACGTACGACACCGTCATTCGTATGAACCGCCTCCCTCGGGGGCGGGACATCCAGAGAGACGTTGGCAACAAGACCGACGTGTTTTTCATCTCGAAGAGGGAGAAACGGCATAAGCATAAACTTTCGGAGATCCGCGCGGATTTCTTGGATCGGCGCTGGAGCGCGCCAGGGACTGCGCTGGAGGCGGCGCCACGGGGGCTCAGCGCCGCTCCAAGGAGTCCGCGCGGAGCTCCGAAAGTTGTTCATGTGTTTGCCAGCTTTTCTTCTCTGTTATCGACACCAGACACCCCTGGAGGGAGGACGTGGAAATCCTCATGCAGAAGATGGGCGCCCATCCGCCGAGAGCCAGCTGCAGGGAGCTGGACAACTGCAGGAACGCCAGCCTCATGTCGAAGAAGGAAAAACCACAGAAACAGAAACTTTTGGCGCTCCGCGCGGATTTCTTGGATTCGCGTCTGGGCCCCAGGCGGCGCTGGAGGCGCCGCCCCTGGCGCGCTCCGCGCGCCAGGGAGGGGCTCCTGCGCGAATCCAAACAAAAACGCGCGGAGCGCCAAAAGTATCTGTTCATGTGGTTGTTTCTTCTTCTATCATACTGCACAAGGGTGATCTCAGCCTGCAGAAACTGGCAGAAGCCTGGGGCAGGGGCCACCCCTTCATCTCGGGTGTTGCCAGGAGGCGTCCCTGGTCCAGGGTGCCCCCAGGCGTTCCACGGAGGCCCTCACGGCCTCCAGAGCACCCCTAACGAGGCCCAGAGGGCCCCAGGGCCCCCAAAAACGGAGCGAAAAGCTGGGGGCACCTTGGGGCGGGAAACACTTAGCAACGCCCTTCACCTCGAAGCGCAAAAATAAACATAGACATAAAATGTTTGGAGATCCGCGCGGGTCTCTCGGATCGGCGTTGGCCCCCCTTGGCGGCGCCTCCAGCGCTGCCGCCAGGGAGAGGGTGTCCAGCCCCGCTCCAAGAAATCCGCGCGGACCTCTGAGAGAGTATGTTTGTGCTGCTTTTCTTCTTCGGCCATCGCCTGCGGCCGTCCGAGAATCGCCAGCATCGCCGAGAGTTTCTCGCGGATTCGCGGGCACGTACCGTCCACCGGCTTCGTGGCCTTCCTGACCTTCCTGCCAGTCTGCCAGGAGCTGGACCTGTTCGGCTTCGGAGGCTATGCCACCGCCGACGGGCACGGCGAGTGGAGTGGCCACGACCTGGGAGCCGAGCATGACATCGAGGACGCGATCGCCGCCGGAAAGCAGCCACCGTGGTCCAATCCCCACGATCCCGACGCCTTGGACTGGTTGCTGGCCCACGCCGCCAAGGTCCAGAATCGGAGGTGATCGGCTCGGAGCAGCGGCGAGGGGCCAGGACCGCCGGCCACGTGCGTGCCCGCCCGAGTTGTCGTTGCTCTTCTGTTTCGTCTGCGGTAAGACGGCCACGACGGGCGCTCGGCACCCCTGTAAGCTTGTTGCGAGCCTGCGCGGATTCCCGAGGGGCCGCTCCCCAGCCGCCAGGGCGGCCCGAAGGCCATTCGAGAGGCAATGAAGAGCCTCACGGGTGAAGATCTTTCCTCGGGTTCGGTTGGCTGTCCCCAGTAGGCAAGTTTGCGGACACTGTGCCCCACTGCTTCTCCTTCTCATTCTCGTTCTCCTCTTCCTCCTCCAGACTCACTCTGAAGTTTCATCCATGAGTTTCCCTCGCGCCCTGCTCCCGTCCCCCGCTCCCCAGCGATACCCGCAATTTGTTGACCTGTTTCCACACATCGCGGTCACACGCAGCGACGCGGCGGAGGCCGCCAGTCGTGGGCCACCAGGATGTCTTTGCTGTCCTTCGGCTTGGCGGCCGGGTCTTCTTTGTTCGCCCGGCCCAGCCCAGAAAGCGGGCCCGGCTGGTTCAGAGTCGCTACGCGCGGCGGCTGGCGGATTGGACACCGTCAGACGTCTGGCTCCAGGGGCCACCCGTAGGAAGAAGGGGGGAGGAGGAGGAGGAGGAGGGGGAGGAGGAATTCGAAAGGAGGACCGGGTGGCGATAGGGATGAGGATAACGATGTTAATGAGAATGAGGACGAGGATGAGGATGAGGAGGATTAATGAGAATGAAGTGGACGATGATGAGGGTGACGATGCTGATGCTGCTCATGATGGCGGTGCATATGATGGTGACGGTGATGGTCATGCTGATGGTCATGCTGATGGTCATGGTGATGGTCATGGTGATGGTGGTGATGATTGTGATGGTGGTGGAGATGATGGCGGTGATGATGATAACGGTAACGATGACGATGACAATCATGATGATGATGGAAATGATGATGATGATTATGATGATGATGATGATGATGATGATGATGATGATGATGATGATGGTAGTTATGGTGAGTGTGATGATGATGTCGGTCATGATTGTGATGTTGATGGTGATGATGTTGGTGATGGTGATTTTGATGATGATGGTGATGGCTATGGTGATGATAGTGATGGTTATGGTGGTTGTGATGATGGTAAGCTTTATCAGTATGCTGGTGATCGTGACGGTTGATGGTGGCTACCATGATGATGATGATGATGATGAGGAGGAGGATCACGGTGATGATGGTGATGATGATTATGGTGACCATGATGATGTTGATGATGATGTTGTTGATGATAGTGTTGGTGATGATGGTGACGATGTTGAGGATGAGGATAATGATGATGATGATGATTGTGATGATAGGGATGATGATGTTGATGGTGATGGTGATGGTGATGATTGTCATGAAGGTGATGATGATGATGATGATGATGGTGACGGTGATGATGGTGGTGGTGATTGTGGTGATGGTAATGTTGGTTATGATAATTTAGATGATGCTGATAAAGATGGTGCTGGTGATGATGTTGATGACGATGCAGGTGATGATGATGTTGATGACGGTGACATTGATGGTGATAGTGATGGTGCGATGTTGTTGATGGTGATGTTGTTGACGATGAAGATGACGATGATAGTGATGGGGATGGTGATGAAGATGGGGATGGTGATTGGGATGGGGATGATGATGAAGGTGATGATGTTGATGATGGCACTGAGGATGATGATGAGGAGAAGGATGAAAGAGTGCGACGAGGTGCCATCTCAGAGGTTCTGGGCACATGATCTACCCCCCCCCTGTGGGTAGTGTGAAGGGGGGAAGCTCTCCCACAGCGCCAGGCGACCCTCGGTCCCCCGACGACCCAGGGCCCGGCCCTTCATCCTCCCAACCGCGGAGGCCGGGCAGACAGGCGAACATCAGGAGGACGCAGCAGCAGTCGCAGGGGGTGCGGCCGAAAGCCAACCCGAGGTGGGGTAAGCGAGGGAGGGCAGGGAAGGGGAGGGGGGCGTGAAAGCCCCAGGGGCGCGGGCAATGCCCAACGGGCTTTGCCTCCCAAGCCGTGCCGCAACCACCCCGAAAAAGAGGTGAGGGAGAGCGGGGGGCGGACACCCTCTCGTCTAAGGATCTCCAGCTGATGCGTTTCCAAACAGCTTGCGTGCGGATTACCAAATGATGATGATGATGATGATGATGATGATGATGATGATGATGATGATGTTGCTGTTGCTGTTGCTGTTGCTGTTGCTGATGCTGATGCTGATGCTGATGCTGATGCTGATGCTGATGCTGATGCTGATGCTGGTGATGATGCTGATGATGATGTTGCTGATGCTGATGCTCATGCTGATGCTGATGCTGATGCTGATGCTGATGCTGATGCTGATGCTGTTGATTATGATGACGATGACGATGATCAAGACGATCACAAGCACGATCCGATGCTGATGACGGTGACGATGACGATGACGACGATAATGATAATGATGAAGCTGATGGTCATGATGATGAGGATGAGGATGAGGATGAGTAGGATGATGATGATGGTCACGATGATGGTGATGATGCTGGTGATGGTGACGATGCTTATGAGGTTTATGATGATGATGGTGATGGCGATGGTGATGGTGATGTTGATGATGGTGTTGCTGTGAATGGTGATGCTGGTGATGGTGGTAGTGATGGTGATGGTGATGGTGATGGTCATGTCGGTGAGTTCATTGATTATGATGATGATGATGATGACGGTGATTATGGCCGTGGCTATGGTGATGGTGATACATGATGGCGGTGGTGATGATGATGGTGATCATGATGATGTTGCTGGTAGTGATGATGGTGTTGGTGACGATGATGCTGATGATGATGACGATGTTGCGGATGGGCGTGAGGAGGAGGGTGTGGATGCGGATGTGGATGAGGATGCGGATGCGGATGTTTATGATTATAATGATGATCAGCATCATCATCAGAGGTGATGATGATATTGATGGTGATGATGGTGATGGTGATGGTGATGGTGACCGTGGTGATGATGCCGAGGATGAGGATCAGGATGAGGATGCTGATGCTGATGCTGATGCTTATGCTGATAAGGATGAGGATGATGATGATGAGGCTGGGGGTAAGGATGAGGATGGGGATGGTAATGATGATGGTGATGATGTTTATGATGCTGATGGTGATGGTGATGACGATTTTGATGTATGACGATGATGGCGACAGCGGTACATTCGAAATTAATCGGGAAGGAGGAGGAGGAGGAGGAAGAGGGGGATGAGCATGATATTGCAGCACTCAGACTGCCTTTGATGTCACATGTGCGGGCAAATGTAGTGTTAGGACCAGACTCCGGTAACGTCTCAGTTCACATCTTGTGCGCAACATCATCATAATCATCTCCCTGCTCTGCCAGGAATCTTCGGTGGTCGTTGTTTCCCCTGTTGATGTAAGCCCAGACGATTTTGCCAAGGTCCGTCGGGGATCTTCGGAGAGCACTGGGCCGAAGCAGAGAAGACAACCGGGCCCCCCGCTCAAGCATGTAACACACACACATCGATTAGTGCATGTTTTATCCTCCTCTGTCCCCCTCGTCCTCTTTTGCTCCTCTGCTCCCCCTTCTATTCCTCCGCCGCCTATTCATTGGCTGACGCCGCACCGCCGACACCTTGGGGAGGCAGTAAGAGTGAAAAACGGAGTTTGCAGAACGCGCGCGATTTCTGGGGAATCTTGGGGTTACAGCTTCTTGGGATTTCCTCTTGGGCGGTTGGCGGATCGCGGCTCTGCTCTTGGGCTTCTCTGGGCTATCCTGGCAGCACTTTTGAGGCCTGGTGGGAGCCGTGTTGAGGTCTCTGGGGGCCTCTTTGGGGCCTATCTGGGGGCCTCGTAGGAGCCTCTTGGGGGCCTCTTGGTACCTCCTCAGGTTTTGTGGGGGCCGACCCGCACGACATGGGGGAAGGGTGAGGGAGGAAGAGAAGGAGGACGGGAAGGAGGAGGAGGAGGAAGAGGAGGAGGAGGAGGCGGAGGTGGAGGAGGGAGGAGAAAAAAACGTCGCATTCTATCAGCATGTCCCTGGCGTGTTGTTTAGCTGTCCGCAGCAGATTCTCACCGACATGTTCCTTCAACTTGTCCTGTGCACGCAGGCACTCTGGTGTACACCAGCGCTGCGTTGCACGTGGATTCTGTGGTTCCGAGAGGCGCTGTGGTGTGCACAGGCGCTGCGGTGCACGTGAGCAAGGGGTGGCTGACAGCACAGTAATTTATTTTCCAGTACATGAGCCACGAAAGGATCGGCTCGATTCGATTCGGTCCAGTTCTGCAGCCGGTTCGGTTTGCTTGGCAAGTTCGGTTTGACGTCGGTTCGGTTTCGGCCGGTTCGAGGCTTTTGGTGGCGCTTTGTGGTTTTCCCTGGCCCCCCCGTGGTCACGGCTGGATCCGCCTCGAGATGGTTGCCCGCGCCTCCTTCTCTTGAGAGGGCCGCCGCCGTCACCGCCGACGACGACGATGGAGTCCAAAACGACGAGGTCTTGTGTCCTGGGCCTGGACGTCCTGGGGGTCCTCCAGGGGGTCCAGACCGGGGTGGGTCCAGATCGGGCTGGGTCCAGACCAAGGGGGCCTGACCGGGGAGGGTCCGGACTGGGGGGTGTCCCAGACCGGGGGGGGGTCCGGACCGGGGGAGGCTCGGACCGGGGGGGGGTCCAGACGGCATGGGGATCCGAACCGGGGGTGGGACCGGACCAAAGGGTCCTGACCGTGCCCAGATCATCCGTTACTGGAAAAATCCAGGCGCGACCGGTCGCGACGGTCGCGCTCCGGTCGCGACCGGTCGCGACCGGTAATGGCGGTCGCGATCGGTAACGGTCTCGGTCGGTCGCGGTCGGTAACGGTCGGTTGTTGAATGAGTTTGGCATGGTTCGCGAGCCAGTTCTGATCTGACAATGCTTCCGAACTTGAAATATGACAATGATCTGACGTCAGATCATTGTCAGA